AATAAATATGTGATGTTTCATGTCTACCTATCAGACATGGTAATCCAGCTGAACATCTTTAGCTTTCAAAGGCTCAGTATACTCTCCTTCATACACGTCAAGGAGATCTGACAAAGTAGACTTGTCAATAATCTCGTGGTGGGAGGATTTGCAAACAAAATAAAGCACTGTTTGGATTACAAGCATCAACAAGAGCAAATGAGACAACAGCAAGAAACATAGAACCCCACACACTGTTCTATCCATTGTACCTAAATTAAACAGCTTCCCTCCATTCTCGACCACCATCATGAACACAAATTGTATCAAAAAGAACAGAAGGTAGAACTTCAAAACGATGATTATGGACAAACCCATATTTCCCTTTATCAGTGCCTTACTCTTCATCATGGCTTCAAACCCGTACGAGTCTTCTAACACAGGCACAACACTAGCTAATAGCCAAACCACGGTAAGGTACACAGTCCCAATTAAATATAAAATCGCAATGACCACAAAAATTGCACCCCCACCACCTTTTACTCCAATTGTAAGTGCCCATATGACTAGAACTATCACTGCAAAAACGTTGTAAACGAGAATAGCAACGATGGTGCACAAAAAAGTGATCATAAGTCTCTTCCAAACCTTAGGGACAACACTTATGACCTTACTGAAGGTTACTTCTTTGCCAGTGTAGATAGAAGCAACGGTGAAAACCACAGCAGAGGTGGAGAGAAGGGAGAAGATAAGGACGAAAAAAAGTAAAAGAGTTTGAACAGAAAGAAAATGGCCCAATCGGAGGATATCGTGTGAATGAGCTTTTGGTATTGGGGTGTGTCACGTGGGGTTTGGGTTAAATTCTTGGAGTCATCTAAAATCATCTCGAAGATGACCTCGGAGAGTTGGATATGAATGAAGAAGATGAAGGAGAGAGGGAGGATTAGGGTTAAGGTGATCTGGCTGAAGATCTTTCTCCATGAAAATATGATCTTGTATGATTCTTTGTAGATACCAAAGAGACCAAGACGATGCATATTTTCTTGCTGTGTGTCCATTGTTATGTTTTAGTTTCTTCAGTGGTTTAGAGTGGTGGGATGGGGAAGGATTTAGGGACGAGTGTCTTTCAGGTTCAAAGGTGACTTTTATAATGGAAAGAGATCAATCAGCATGCCCAACAGCTATACTAAATGATTTACCAAGGAAAACTCGGTTGTACTTTACCATGATCCACCAAGATTTCTAATTCACAAGGTGAGATGTATATGTTAAAAAAATTGAAATAAAAAATAAAAATATAAAAATAAATATAATATGTGATTATAATTAGATTGGCTAAGTGTTAAAATAGGTCATTTGATTTGATTTGGATTGGCTAAGGTAAAGTTTGGGAGACTTTATTACATTAGGCCAGAAAATCTTATTTTTATTGGAGCGGTAAAATAAAAGTCTAAATCTAAGTGAACTTATATTTTGTAAATAAATTGGATTAACTTAAATTCAATAAAAGAAAAATTATACAAAATTGGATTGACGTGACGTTAACGTTTTATGGGGGCGAAGATTACGAGCAAGTGCAAGAATATTGCTGAGCGCTGGTTCGTACATCAGACTAAGGGCTTGTCACATCCTTCCTTTTACTAAACCTTCTCAGACTATTTCTTCGGTTTCATCGAAAGGACAGGGACTGGGCTTTTTCTAAAAACAAAAAACTAGGATAATTTAAAAATATATATATACATAAATTTTGATTATTTAAACAAATAAATTTTTGTTAGTTAAGAAGAAAAATATTCATTCCATTAATGTTATAAAATTATAATTAACAAATAATTTTTTAATCAACTATTATTATTAGTAGTAGTAGTATAACGGTCCATTAAACTTAGTTTTAGGCTTTATTTGGATAAAAAAGTGAAATAAGGAAGAAAAAATTTAAAAAATAAATAAAAATTTAAAGTAAAAAAAAATATTATGTTTAGATAAATTAAAATAATTTAAAAAAGTATAGTATTTATTGTTATATATGTGTTGAATTAAATAATATTTTGTGATTTTAAAAAAATACCATATAAGATCGTACTGTGCGTCCTTAGACACATTAAATTTTTTAAAAAAATTTAATTATGAAAATATCTGAAAATAATCATTATTTATTATAATTAAAGAAAATAGTAATATTTATTTGTTATAAATAGAATTAGAGGATAAAACCTTTATGTAATAATTAAATATTGCAATTTTCTCTTCCAATAATTAAATATTAAATTATTAAATCTTCTCATGATGATTGACTCTAATTATTTTATTTTTAAGAAATTTAAATAATAAATAAGTATATTTTATAATCTTGTAAATAATATTTTAAAAAGTCTCTGTTCCTTTTGAACAATTTAATTGGAAATGTTATAAACACTATTTAAAATTTCCTTTTTAAATTTAATGTTAATGTATTGATAATATAAAAATTTTAATATGATAATTTATAATTAGATAATACTATATAAAAAAAATTGTTGCAAATACATTCTAATTAAATTCTTGTGCCTATGCATTTGCCCGTGGCTTATTGCATGAAAGCTAGAATAATTAATTTCACGTTAACCTTAAATCAAATTGAACCTATTATAGCTACCTTAATTATCAAATTTATCTTTTTCAACTCAAGTTATATGAGAGGATTCATTCCTAAGGAAGGATGTCGCACAAGAAATCTTTATATATTATTTCTGGACCTGGAATTTTGTAGGTATCGGCTTAACATGTGTTCTAAAAAGTTTGAATATTATGTATCTTTGTATTAAGATTTTTGGGTTAAACAAGTTTTCTTTGATTTATTTTATTGGTTTTAGTATTTTCGATTAATTTTACAACTTATAATTTATTATTTTATTGATGATTATTAAGTGTAAATTAAGTAAAAAAATTTCAACCAAATATAATTAAATTTATACTCGTGTGAAAAGATCAATATATATATATATATATATATATATATATATTTTGATTGAAGACTCTTTTAATGTATTTATTTTTAAAGTGAATAAATAAGATACGAAAGGAGGATGTCGCACAAGAAATGTGTATAACCTTAAGTGAATGAATAGGATACCAACAGAGTTTGGTGTATATAATTAGTAGATAGGTAGATTTCTTAAGTATACTAATATTGATTCGATTTCTTACTGTGTATGAAAATGACATTATTAGAAAAGGTTATACACATTTCAACTCTCTCTCCCCCTAAAAGAAATAATATTTGGTTCTTAATTGAAGGATTGAATAAAAGATACTCTTAAAAAAAATTGATAAATTTATCCTTATTTTAATTTAAAATACATGATAATATTAGCTCATCAAAATATTAGATGCATGTAATATATATTATTTACGTGCACAATATAAAAATAAACTTGTTATAAAAATGTTTTTCCTTTATCTTATTACTTTTTATTCACTTATCATTTAAAAAACAATGATATAACGACAAGACTAGCGACAATATTGTTAATTTAAACACAAAACTTCCAACAAAGTCACTACTAAAGAGTTGACTGTAAAATTAATCAAATTTTTGGTCCTTTCATATGACTACCACATTATCTATGTCTCCTCAGACTTGGCAAGAGTATTGAAAGTTTAAAACAAACACTAATACACCATGATAATATCTTTACTTGAAAACAACTTAGTTTGAAATTTCAAACTCGTATAAAGCTAGTACTGGGTTCGGGTTGTCAAACTTGTTCAAGCCTTATTGATTACACCTGAAAAATTAGCAACACAAAACACACGACATACCCAAACAGTTTATTATAGTATCTATTCTCTTAGTTAGTTAGTTAGATTATGGCAGCGCATATATTTAGTTATTATGCTTTTAAAGAGATGACCATACGAAAATATAAATAATGTATGTTTGCCTAGATTTTCTTTTTCTTGTTGGAGAGGCCAAGTTGCTGCCACGTTCCAGATTTAAATTAATTTGTTGACCACCATTCTCTCTTCGTTTCTTTGGTTAATTAGTTAATTTGACATAGTCATAGACGATATTTCCTAGTTGTTTTAAATGTAATTGCTTCGGCATGGAACGATGGAAGCTTCAGAATTCAGATCAGGATTTTATCAAATGTTCAAATCTCTTATCTTTAGCACATGCGATGAACTTTTCCTCTGTCTAACATAAAAAAAGTCATTTCTTCAACTTCTCTGCAAACCACGCTCACATGGATACAACCTACTCAAATACCACAAATTATAATTGCGACCTGTTTTTAATTAATACACAGGGATATGCTATATATATATCCAAGAATTAAATAAACTATCATTCAATCACCAATTATTATTTGTAATAATTAATATAAAAATTATATCTATAACATTTTAATTAGTTGATTATATAAAAATATTTATATTGACAATGCATTAAAATTGAATTAAACTAAAACATATTTGTCAAACCTTTTAAATTTCTGCATACTTTCCTAAACTTTATAGTGAGTTTATATATATATATATATTTTTTTTTGAATTCACATAATCTATTAATCAATATAAAACAAAAGTTTATTATTTATGTATTACTAGCTAAATTAAGCTTGCCTCAAACGCCCAAAATTAGAGTGGGACAGCATTTATCATATGTTAATTAAACTTCGATGACTAATTATTAATTGAAAGAGATTAGCTGATACTTTTATTTAAAAAGGAGTGTTAATTTATGACAGATTGCAGTAATATGTGGTATTTGAGTAGGTTGTATCCATGTCAGCGTGCAGAGAAGTATTCAAACTGGCACAAACAAAATCTCCAAGAATTTATTAGAATCTTGGCAAAAAAGGAAAGCTAGCTAGCTGTAGGCTGCAGATAATCTTCTGAATTCATCACTCATACATGTCAGCTTGATTTACTTTCAGTACACACATACAACGATATATCTTATGACACCAAGAAATTAACTATATACGCTTCCCAATTTAGAGAAAAGATGCTTAATATAATCTATCTATCTATCACTATCAAACTTGGTACTGCTCCAGCTGAACATCTTTAGCCTTCAACGGTTCATACTCTCCATGATAAACTTCCAAGTGATCTGACAAAGCAGATTTGTCAATATTTTGATGGTGGTAGGACTTGCAAACAAAATAAAGCACAGTTTGGATAACAAGTTGGAACAAGTACAATTGAGAGAACAGCACCAAACACAGTATCCCATAAATTGTTCTATCCACAGACCCCAAGCTCCATCCTTGTACCACCATTTTCTTGAACAAAAACTGTATCAACCCAAACCAAACTGTGAGCTTGAAAAATATGAGTATGGACAAACCCATCTTCCCCCTTATCAACTCATTGCTCTTCACCATGGCTTGAACCCCATAAGAGTCTTCCAACACAGTCACAACACTAGCCAATTGCCAAACCACCGTAAAGTACACAAACCCTGCCAAGTATACAACCACCAAGGCCACTAAAACCGCAATTCCACTACTGTTCCCTCCAAATATCAGTGCCCATATGATGAAAACAAGCAGTGACATAACGTTGTAGGCAAAAAGGGCAACGAAACTGCACAAAAAGGTGACCATGAGTCTCTTCCATACCTTGGGAACAACGCTCATGACCTTGGTGAAAGTGACATCTCTTGCAGTGTAAATGGAAGCGACGGTGTAGACCACTGCGGAGGTGGAGAGGAGGGAGAAGATAAGGAGAAGAGTGAAGTAAAAGAGCTTGAAGAGGAAGAACGTGGCCCATTCAGAAGAGATAATGTCTGAGAGCTTTCGGTATTGGGGTGTGCCTTGTGGGGTTTCCATCATTTGCTGTGTGTTGTGCATGATCTTGCCGAATAGGATGTTGGATACTTCTATGTGGATGAGGAATATGAAGGAGAGAGGGAGGATGAGAGTTAAGGTGATCTTGTTGAAGATCTTGCTCCATGCAGCTATGATCTTGTAGGATTCTTTCAAGACACCAAAGAATCCTAGAAACTGCATCTCTTCTTGTTCTCTGTCCATGGCTTTTGTTTTTCTTCAATGGAGTTTTTTGGTATGGTGTGGTGGCGGCGAGGGAAGATATGGGTTGAGAATATATGAGGAAGAAGAAGGAGACTTTATGGCAATTGCAAGAGAATAAGCCAAAGCCTGGAATTTTGACTCGGTTTTCTTCTATATCCCCAAACTACCCTTAATTTTTTTAATGAACGCATGCTATTCAAAAACTGAAGTCAATGGTTATTTTCATTATATAAATAAAAAGAAACAAGCGTGGTTTCTGCTTCTCAATTTACAAAGGCAATAAATAAGTTTGTAGTAAAAAGTTTTCTAGAAGTTTGATGATAAATAAGGATCTTTTAGACATGTACAAATTTGTAATTAAAAAGTTATTTTCTACTTACTTTTAAAGTGATTAAAAGTATTGGATAAAATATATTACATACCCTTGAATGAGAGTCTTACTTGGACGGCTGGACCCATTTTAAAAAATTAATGATTAATGCATGTTAAAAAATACTGGTTAATAAATATTTATTGAGTGTTATAAAAAATATATATTGAATGTTTTTAGTTACTGAAAAATTAAATGTTTTTACTTTTATAAAATGTTAATTAGAATAGATTAACAGTTATTTTTCAGTATTACATTATTGTTTAGTCTTACAATAGCATTAATAGACGTCTTAACCCGTGTGCAAATTTAGCTTAATGGAATAAGGTTATTTGTTTATCTACGGAGGTTGTTCAACGGAAAGACATGTCTGTAGAGAAGCAGCATGTCTGCAGATAAACTTTTACTCATAAGGACAAAATCATCTTTAATGCAAGAATTTTATTTTATCAACTTAAATATGTAATAATATTCTTAGAAACTTAAATTAATATTTTTCTCTTCGTCCTTTTTCTCAAATAAAACAATGCATAATGGTATGAATGGAGCGAAAAAAGGAATATACAACTGAAGAAAAAAAAAGTTGAGTGAGCTTTGACAGAAGAATGGCATCTTGGTAATTGTGGTGAAGGGGATGGAGTTTCCAGGAAAACAAAAAGCTGGATATTGTCGAGAAAGGACGGCGAAGACCAAGTTATGGTAATTTTATATTATGTGGTGACCAAGTTGTTGTATAATAACGTTAACGTTACGCACTAAGCCGAGGCGAAGACTAAAAATAAGAATGAATCTGAATAGATGTTCTTTGTTCCTTTGTAATATTCAACTGAAACTTTCTTTGGTCTCCCTCACCTCAATTACCTCGAAACCTACAGCATTTCCTTTTTAAAGATTTTCTCTATTCCTACAATAAATTTATGCAATATTTTATATAACATTCTTTTTTTATTTATGAGTTTAATTTTACTATATTATCAGTATAATTTTTTTACACTATTAACTCATTAGAATATATCATAGATTTTATTTTATATTAATTATTGCAAAAATTAATAATTCTTACTCATTTAATAATTTATAATTAGATAATAATATATGTTTTTTACACTAATAGTGTATTTAAATTAATTTCTTACTTTTTGTATAAAATTTTGTACTAATAAAATTCCTCTTAAGTATATTTTATGGTACAATTTCCTAAAAATTATTTTATTTTTTTAACAAGTTTGTTATGAAAAGATTCGTACTTAAAAATATATAACTATTATAAATATTATTAAACGTATTTTTATTGTTTTCTTTTTAAAAAGCAAACCGATTCTAGACTCTGGCATATTAGTCCTAGGTTCGACAATCAAATAAAATATTGTCTTTTTGCTAAAAATGTTATCTTCTCTGAAGCCAAGTTTTCATACTCTTTGTATATAATTTTTTTTTTATTTAAGACTAAGGCCAAGTTTTCTAACAATAAATAAAGGTTTGATTTATTTTTAATTTTTATAGATATTACTAATTTTATTGTTAGTGTTCTAATTTGTTATTAATTTTAATTTTATAAATTTTAGATTTTTTAAGATAATCACTATCATCACATAATATATTAAGTGGCATAACATATATCTCAACATGTCATAATAGTAATTTTTTATGCCACGAGGTAATACATGTCTAAATGTATTTATGAGCATCAAAACTAATAAATTAAATCTTTTAACAAAAATAATAATAAATTAATTTGAATAATTCAAATTAAATTTAATCATCTTTTATAAAAATTTAAAATACATTTCACTTATAAATTTAATCAAGTTCAAGTTTCAACAATAACTATGTTAAATAATTAAAAAATAATTTTATCGCTCATTGATAAAATTATTTCTGATAAAAAATACATACGGTCTAAAAAATTTAGATTATTAATTTTGTTAATCTGAAATTTTAAAATTAATTTTAAGCAAATATTAATTTTTATTAAAAATAATTATTTTTACATATTCTCAAAGTAATAAATATTTATTCTTTTATAACATATTAATATTTTAGTTTTTTATCATCAGCCTTAAAAATTGATAATAACATTTTCTTGTATTATTTATAAAAAAATTCATATAACACTTTTAATAATACTATTTTTTCTCAATTTTCTCGATTATATCAACCATCTGAATTATGTTCTCTCTCTCTCTCTCTCTCTCTCTCTCTATATATATATATATATATATATATATATATATATATAATCACCTGAATTGAAGTACTTTTGTTATGTGGTTGTACGTCACCTTTTGTTGAGACAGTTTTTATGCAGTGTTGACTTTCAATGGGAACTCTAGATGATTGTTGTTGTTATTGGTCATATGGAATTTTCAAGATTAGTTACAATTTTTGGTTCTAAGTTTTTATTTCTTAAGGATATATATATTGGTTCTGAAATTGAAGATGACGATGGTTGGTCATTGAATAGCTCAAAAATGGATATGGGCCAGCAATACAAATAGTCTAGGAAAGGAGCTATTTCAGAGCAACTCAATATTGTTCGACCACGACCAAAACCCCAATAATTTCTATAAGATCAACTAATTACATAATTGTACTATATTCCCTTTAAAACTATTCTTTTTTGTCTTGTATTTTGTAGAGATAAACAATATCTGTATACAGTAGAATTTTTTTCTCCTAGTCAAACTATTATTCAATCAAAGTATAAAAGAAACCTTCGAAAAACTAAAAATAAATACCAGCCTATAAAATAGTGTCAACCCAATTGTATGAGGCCTTGCGGTGTCTTTTCTTTTTCGGCCTTGGCCCGCCAAAAAAGATTATTGTATAGCCATTGGTACGGATCCTACTTGTCATAATCTCTTAACCCGGCCCAAAAAGAAAAACAATGTTTATGTATTTAATTAATCATCTTGTACATTTGCATGCACTATATGTTTAGGAGAACGTTCATAAAATTACTTTGAGGTGAACTTGATTTTATAAAATTAATTTTCATTTAAAGTGAGTTTAAGTGTTTTGTGATTAGAAACTTTCATATTAAAAATAAGTTTGCATTAAGTGAAATTCTCAATTCAATACGAAGTTAGATGAGGGCTGATTATACTAGAATCACGCTTAAGTGCATTTTATTTCCAACATCTTTATTGGCTTTGGTAGTAGCAAATGTAAAACAAAACACACTCTAAATTAGTAGAAGCAAGCAAATACTGTAAAAATGAAAAGCAAGCAAGTAGTTAACATAACAAAATCGTATGGAACTCATTTAAAATATCAAATATTTAGTTATTTTAATTAGTTTAGTGCATTAACTAAAAATAATTAGTGTATAAATCAAGGTTCAATCTGATTCGGACCTATCTAGAACATGGCAGAGTAAAATATTAATTTACCGTCAGCAATTCAGAGTGCTAATGATCATTCCTTTCGAAACAAGAAACTACTACAAAGTAAAGATGAATATTTGGACTACATATTGTGATTTCTGATGTCACTCAATTATGATCCGTGAGTGGTTCATTTTTCTTGGGACAAATTCAAACCATACTTTTTCACCCACGTGGTGGATACCTGGCTAAAGGGTAGATATAATCCTGTGTTGAGTTGCCATGTAAACAAACAAAACACTTGGGAGTTATAATAGCCGTCGATATAAGCATAATTAAACTCCTAAGAGCCGTAATCTTTAGAAAGTGGAGCAATGTAGGAAATTAATTTATCAAAATACAACCACACATTGTAACACGGACACACATCCGTGACCATTGGACCATCATCAAACACTCCCTACACAAACATACCAAACATTAACCGACAAAGCCAGCTCACTCCTCTCACTCGCTTCACAAAATTATTATATGATTAATATTGCAGTCCATTTAAGAAATTAAGTACATACATGATCACACCTATAACATCTACTAATTAATGCTGTTATACCCTTAGCTAATTGACCATTAACGTCGTTATTATAACTTTTGTAACTTCAATAAAGCACTATGTCACACTGCATTGAGGGCAATCTTCATCCCAGATTCACAGTGACCAGGAAAGTTGCATATGAAGTAGTTCTGCCCTCTTGCAAGCTTTATTTGGTCCTTCCCTGAACTGAACACTCGAGCATTCCCTGGTGCCCTGCAATCGGTGTATCCACTTCTGTCCACAGCAACCACATTGTGGGTGGTTGAGTCGTAGTTGAAGACTGCAAAAATTACAACATTGCATAGTTAGTAACAAGTTTGTTTTAATTCCTTAACAACTTGAAGAAAACTAAGAGAGTGCCATATGTTAAACTTACTTAGCACATCACCAGCTCTGAACCTTTTTCCCCTGGGCCAAGAATTAGTGTTGAAGGTCCATCCCCCAGATCCTCCAACGGTGTAAGTAGCTGCATTAGCATGTTCCACCAGAAGCAACAGGCACAGTAGTGAAATCACAGTGAGCATAGCCATGGGTGAAGATGCACTACCTCTTCCCTGAGACATTCTCCGAATGTGGAACTTGGCTATAATTAGCTAGTAGGTAGAGAATTTAGTGAAATTGGTTGTGTTGGGTTGTGAGGCTTATCCCTTTATATAAATGGAATTGATTATGTCGCATTATGGGGTCCTAATATGAATATCCTATGGTTGTTTAATATACTTGATTGATTAAAGTGGGATGCAAAAATTTGGCATAAATAAATTAATGATTATTCTGAAAAGGGCAAAAATGGATTTTAATTGGAAAATTAGTCGCGTGGATTTTGGGAGGAGATAATGGGAATAATGAATTAATGCAATTACTGTGTTGACTGCATAACTTAGATGAAAGCAGGCCACCCGTGAGCGTGACAGTTGATTGGACACCACTTTCGCCAACCGCTTCTCATTGCCCCTTTCTTTGCCATCGACTCTGCCGGGGACCCAATCATTCTTCTAACACTTCTATCATGCAGAGGAATAACAAAGCCAGTAACACACTTTTATCACAATTATTATTATTATTTTCTAAAATTTATTCAAAATTAAAAAATAAAAAATATATTTTTTATTAATTATAAAATATCTGTTATACAGAATATATTAAAATGTCTGTTACTAATATAACTATGTATAAGAATATATTTTATTCCCTTTTTCAACTTTACAATTCTTAGGTGTCATTTTTGTAAATTTGTTTTTAGTTACTTTTTAAGCTATATTTAAATTTAAATTTTATTTTAACAAATTACAACAATATTAATTATGATTGAATATTTATATTATGAAACTTGAATGTATGGCATACATTTTATATTTAAATGTGTTAAATAGAAAGATAATTGTGTCTGAATCATATAAAATAGTTACTTTTTAAGGATGAAATTACAAACAAAAAAATATGAAGTTAGGTGTAATAGTTGGTTTTATATTTAACAAATTAATTATGAAGAATAAAATGAAAAAATAAAAATAAGATAAAATATAAGTTTACAACTTAAATTATAAACTCTAAAATTTTTATTTATTCTAAATGAAGATAAAAATTTAATTAGTGAATAACACTAAAAGAATATACAAATTATACTTACATTTTATTTTTTGAATGTATTTTTAAGAGTACAAATATAAAATAATTTTTAAATAATATATAATATTATTAATATTTTTACTTTTTATTTTTAATAAAAAATATTTTTATCATATTTATTGTTTATTTTATTTAGAAGAGCTATTTTTATTATTAAATTTTTAATTAAAAATTTAATATATTAAAAATAGTTAATTAAACTTAATTAACAAATTTGCTTTCTGATCCAACAGCATGTTCCGTAGCAGCTTTGAATTCATCTCATTTCTCCGTTGAAATTTCTGCATTTGAAAATTTGTTGTATGGCTGAAACGATATGGTTCTAATTAATTAATTATACTGTAATAACTATATAACTTTTATAGGTTTTTAAAAAATTAATAAATAATATAATATGAGTGATTGAAAGCATCTAATTTCAGATCATCAAAAATTTCTTCATTTTACTATATACTTTTACAATTTCTATTCCCAAAAAACTTACAAGTAGCTGTGGATGTTTAGATCATGATTTGATTTTGAATGGTTTTCAAAATATGAACTATTTTAAGATTTTAGTATAAAAGTTAATAAATCTAACATTCTTATTTTCTTAAAAAGGTTACCAAAGATTTCTTGTTTTATTTTTATCAATTAAATATTTTTTTAAATTTTATGTGAAAAATATAATTGATAAATAAATCGAAATAAATTTTCTTAATGATAAATAAAATTGAATGAAGATGTTAATCTAATCATGATGTTGTCAATCAAAATATTCTTAAAAATTGTCTCTTATAATATTTAAAATTACCTCAACTAATTAAATAAAATAAGAAAAGATTAAAAATAGTTAAAATATAATAAAATTTTACATAAGTTGATATTTTCTTAATTTAAGTGTATCAAATTTACAAAAGAATAATTTTAAAATGGAGGGATGATATTTTGATTGATCAATTTATTGATAAAATACGCAAGAACCATTATTTATGGATCATCATTTCAATGTACGTCCATCTGGTGTTTGGGAAGAAAGAAAGAGATCCACTTGTAGAAAAATTAAAAGCAAGTGTGGAACAAGAGACCATTGAAGGCATTGCTGCAATGGTGGTCGAGAGAGACTAGTCCTTTTTTGTTGGCCTCTTATTCTATCCTTCAACTTTCTATTCCTTTTTCTATGCCTCTGCATATGATTGTGATGAGCCATCTAAATGGAAATCAGAGATGTGTGATGTGAGGGGTGTGGTGGTACCCAAGTGCTTTGTGTTAGGTCCACAATTTCGTTAGTGTTAATTACTAATTAGTTCCTTTAACTAAATGTCAAAGCCAAGATATACGCATTGATAACTATAGAGAAGAGAACGTTAAAAAAGCTTTCTATTCTTGAGCCACCCCACCACTAGATGGAATATTGGATCAGAATTCAGAAAATTAAATAAATAACATCTTACTTTATACACACACAAGCAGGCCGGTGCCCAAAAAATTGACACCTTCATTTTCCTATTAGTACCCATAAATATCAGCCAATAATACACTTATCATAAATTTTATTTTGATAATTTCTTTGCAAATTAGAAAGTGTCATGTGCAATATATACATATATATATATATACTTAATTCAACTTATATTTAGAATATATAAATTAAAATTTATTTAAACTTTATGTGTGTATATGTATGAATGGACCTGAATATTGTAGTTAAAATATAATCTTTGAGTTAAATAAATTTAGACTTTTTTTTTTTCACTTTAATTTGCTTAAGCTTGCATCATAAGCAGATTCGAGTTGAGTATATGCCTGCAAAGACTCCAGCTAACTACACTTTTATTTTCTCTTTTATATCACATTTTAGTCTTAAATTGAGCTTTAATTTTATTTTATTTTATTATAAAAAACATTTTGTCATGGCCAATATATGTTAGAGCGAACAATTTGTATCATACCATTGATTACAGCCGATAAAAGAAATATTAGAAGTATGAGGGCAAGAAAAGTGTTAATATACAACTATTTTCAATATGATATATTTAATTTAAATTTTGGTTAGATGGATGAACAACGATTTCAACTTGAATATGTTAAGGCTTGATGAGATGATTAAATATAGTGTTAGAAAAGATGCTCAAATAAGTATCCTTTAATTCAAATCGCATAAACTCATTATTCACATTGGATTGAGCTAAGTAATTTAAACTGACATTTATATAATCTCTCTATCAATGTAATAAGAAAGAAAAATAAAACTAATAATAAAAAATGTGTAATTTAAAATAAATAAATTAATATAGTTACAAGAGTCAATTCCAATTTATCTCAAAATGTTATGTTATGATCAATTTTAAACTTTATTTTATGTTTTAAAATGTTTCATATTTTTTTTTAATTTCAACTATTTATGATAAAATATAGATTGTATTTGGTACCACAAATTTAAATCATATTTAGGAGCTAGTACTTCTGTTTTTTTTTGGGAAAAAGCTAGTATTTGGTGAATTGAAAAGTATAAAACTTGTAAGAGCTCATTTCTAATAAAAACAAGTCACTCTAGGTAGCATTCAAGTTATTTTATATTAATTATTTGTAAGTTTTTATTTTTAACCTTTTAAATAATTTACATTTATACAAAGTAATCCTAACTCGTTTTATTCCTCACTTATAACCACCATTCTTATTCATTCTCTCCTTCATTTCTCATTTATCTTTTACATTAGTAGATATTAAATAATGATAATACATATTTAATGAAATGTATGATGATAAATGAATAAAATAAATGATATTTAATTTTAATATAATATAATTGTTTAGTCATTTAAAATATTTTAGATAACTATATAATTAATTTTATTGAATAAATTTAATTCAATCAATTAATTATAAATTAAAAACTTTTACTTAACTAATCAACTATAAATTATAAGGTTTTAATTAAATTTATTAAATAAATTTCAATAGTTAAAATTTGTTTTATCTTATTTTTAATTTTGTGTTTGTGTGGAGCACGCCCATGGCCATATGACCATATTTTCAACACTCTTATTTATATGATTTTTTTATTTATTATATCATGAATAAATGTAAATTAATCAGTTAACAATTGAGTTACTCGAATTGGACGATCGATTAAGAGATTAACAATTAAGCAGCTTGCATGAAATCGTGAGTTTGATAAATTGCATTGCCATTGTCGTACAGAAAGAAAGAAAAAACTCAGGCTAATATTCACTAATAATAGCTAAGAGTTTACATACGAGTACAATTATAAAATTATCCGTTCTTCTTATATAAGAAAGACGATTCAATTTATTTATTTAAATGTTTATAGGTTAATCTACTTATACATAAATTTAATTAATCTAATTAATTATAAAAAAAATTAATGACTGGGTTAAATTGAATCTCTATTTATTATAATATAGATAATAAATTATATTCAATATATTTTACAATTTATTAACTTAAAATATTTTAAATCTATTGGTTAAATATGGATTTTAAAGGACATTGGACATAAGATTGCAAATAAATATTAAAATTTATTTTATAAAAATATTTTTTTTAAAAAGTAGAATGTATCTTAAATAAATAAATTAGATGTACATTTATAAAAGAAAAAATAGTAATAAATGCATTGAATTTTTATTAATTTATTTATAAAAAAAATTGTTAAAGATTAGATCCCATGAATACTCAACAAATACCTGATGAATTTTCTTAGTAAGTGCCTTTCTCTCCTATGTCATGAATAATGTATACGTGTTCAACAATTAATTGTTTCTGAAATAAGCTATAAATAAATTATATTTATAAAAACTTATAAACAAAATAATAATTTTTTATCTGTTCATTACAATTCAATTCAAAATTTATCTACTGTATCCATTTAAAACTTGTATCCATATCCTCATAGAACTGATCATTTTGTAGCTTGAACATATACGGGTCAAGTGTAGAACAGTTCATTCTACACAGTATTTGACTTTAGAGAAATATCTTCCCAAGTCTCGTGATG